GTTAAATATACAAATAAAATAAAAACAATTAAAAACAATAGCACATCAACATAAAAACATATAAACATAAATCTGAAAGCGTTGCTCAAACTCCCGTAACAGTCCCGTTATTTTATCTTTGAACCGCTTCATGTCTGCCACATGTTGGGTCGCGCACACATTTTTCAGACAGGGGAAGTGAGCTGCATCACCACCGGCAAGTTGCGTCTCCCACAATGACAGCTTCAACTTGAAAGAACGTATGCTGTCATAATACTGCGTGACAACTTTGTTGCGCCCTTGCAGCTGTTTGTTCAAGTTATTCAGGTGCTCTGTAACATCCACCATAAATGCAAGGTCCTGCATCCATTCTGCGGAATGAAATTCTAACACTGGTTTGCCCTTTTCTTCCATGAACTGTTCAATTTCTTCTCGTAAATCAAAGAAACGCCTCAGCACAGCACCTCGGCTTAACCATCTTACCTCAGTGTGGTATGGCAGGCCATAGATGTGGTCTTTCTCTCTGAGAAGGCTGTCAAACTGACGGTGATTCAGGCTTCTGGATCGGATGAAATTAACAGTTTGGATGACCACCTTCATGACGTTATCCATCTTTAATGACTTGCAACACAAAGCCTCCTGGTGCAAAATACAGTGAAAAGTCAAAAAATCACGTCCTCCATTTGCAGATTGCACTTTCTCTCTGAACTTTGTCACAACGCCTGCTTTTTTCCCGATCATTGAGGGCGCACCATCTGTAGCCAGGCTGACATCGCGGGACCAGTCCACTCCGACCCTATCAGCTGCTGTCGTTGTATCTGTCATCGGCACCAACTCCACGAACTCCTCGGTAACGGTCAATGTGTCATCAACTCCGCGGATGAAAATGGCCAGTTGTGCAACATCTGTAATGTTCGTGCTTTCATCAATTGCAACCGAAAACGCAATAAATAACTTTACTTTTTGCTTCAACTGGCTGTCCAAATCCACTGAAAGATCGGAAATCCTGTCTGCAACTGTGTTTCTTGTCAGGCTGATATTTGCAAAAGCCTGCCGCTTTTCAGGGCACACAATCTCCGCTGCCATCATCATGCATGTTTTTACAAATTCACCCTCACTAAATGGTTTTGAAGCCACTGCGATTTCATTAGCAATGAGGTAGCTAGCTTTCACTGCAGCGTCACTGATGTCTCGGCTGTGAGTAAACACAGACTGCTGTTTCTTCAGACCCGCCAACAGTTCATTCACCTTCTCTCATCTCCGCTGTCCTTGAAAGTTGTCATATTTGTCGGCATGAAGACTCACATAGTGGCGACGAAGGTTATATTCTTTCAGCACTGCAACATGCTCTGAACACACCAAACATACAGCTTTCCCATTCAATTCCGTGAATAAATAGGATGACCATTTTTCTTGGAACACTCTGCGTCCACTTTTCTCTTTTTTGACAGAGACATATTGGGGCAATGAGGGTGCCAAAGCACATAATGTTAAAAGTAGAAGCCGTAATAAATATCGCAGGCAAAACAAAGTAGCTCATTGGCTGCACGTGCTTGACCTACTTGCTCTGCCCCGGTATAAACAGTTTGCTTGCTTAACACAATTGCTATTGTGCCATCCAGTGGACGCAATTGGAACAGCAGTTTATTTTATTGAAAAATTGCAGCGCATTTTTATACTTTAAAAATTGTTTTTATTTTTTTTAAAAAATTTTAGCATCTCGCGGGCCGGATTAAACCCGTTTGCGGGCTGGACGTTTGACACCCCTGCTCTAGGTAGTTGATATGCAGCACCCTTTGCACTGTTGACCAAATCCCTCTTTCCGAGTAGCCCCCACACTGCGCTCCTCATCCCAGTAAGGTTGAGTGTCATGATCACCCTGCGGGACACTACCCGGCCCATGAGAACCCCCCTGCAACAGCATTCACCGGTCTCGCCAAGGAGTCAACGCCCTTAAGCACGACAGGGATACCTTGAGCAATCAATGACAGTGGCGAGAAGCGGACAGACACGTAGCAACCACCCAGCGCTGAAACAGACGCATCAGACATCCCAGAGGCAACACAGCTATCATAGAGGCCATCCGACCCAATAACCACAGGCACAAGCGAAAAAGCATGGGTGCCCCAGCTGAAACCGTGCCAGACAGACCCGGAATGCGAACAAAAACGCATGATTCAGAAGCGAGTCCAGAACGAGACCCAGAAACTGAATGTGTTGAGCAGTAGTCAAACTACTTTTCTTGTGACTCACTATCAACCCCAGATATTGAATATGGGAAACCAGTGTGGAGCTCCACCTGTTCCGTCGACTACGCTATGACCAGCCAATCGTCCAGATAGGCCAATACTCTGATCCCCTGGCACCGCACTGGTGCCAAAGCCGCCTCCACCACCATAGAAAAGTTGAGGGGCGATAGGTAGAATGTATAGCACATGAAAATATGCATCCTTCAGATCTATGGACGTGAACGCACCAACTGCAATAGCCAGCGTGTGCAAGTGTGAGCATTTAGAACTCTCAAATCTAAGGTGCTTGTTTAACACTAGAACCGCTGGGCCTCGATGGACCCCCCTTCAAGCTAATGAGCAGTAATTCTGACTGCAACACTAACAGTGTAATTCATATATTTCATATATGCTATTGCAAAAATAACCATTTGGCTTTGTTTATGAAGGCCTTGGGTAACAGAATACGTTTTTTTTTCTTCAAATCAAACTAGCATTTTCATTAGTTTATGTTACTGTAGGCCAGGGGTTCACGGTCCAGAGCTTGCTGGTTTTCTGTTCTACCTGATAATTGCACACACCTGGTGTCCCAGGTCTAAATCAGTCCCTGATTAGAGGGGGACATTGAAACAATGAAGTGGAACTGGCTTCGAGGTCCAGAGTTGAGTTTGAGGGCTGTAAAAACAAAAACACACAAAAATAAACACCAAAATTAAAGTGTTCAATCAATTATATTCATGGAGTGCCTTTGTTACAACTATGAAATAGAAAGGATATTTGCTGGAACGCTCTTCTTTTTATAAACGACACTTAACTCTAATTGCTCCTGTAAGTCGCTCTGTATAAGAGCGTCTGCTAAATGACTAAAATGTAAAATGTGTGAAATGAGTTTTGTGTAGTTTAGGATCAGTTTCGAGGCAATTATGTGATTATCAGCTGGGCACTGAACTTTCAACTGTCGGAAGGAGGAGCGTAGCAGGCCTTACTGTTGGGAAACGGAGAGGCAACGTGGGAAAACCATCAAAAATAATAATTACATGCCCTCCTAAAACTGGTTATGACTCCAGTTCTGTTTGTGATATTAAGATTCTAACGACAGTGTTACAAAGACTTATTTAGGAAAAGTCAAGAACGGAGGGGGGCATGATTTTAAAAAATGGCAGAGTAATAAATAAATACAATTTATGAGCAGTCAAAATGACTGCTTTAGCAGTTCTAGTGTTAAAACACGCTTTTCTAGGATGGGACTCAACACTTCTTCGCTCTTGGGAACTTAGAAGTACCGGCAGTACTCTGTACTTCTGACACTGGGACCACCCGAATAGCCTTCTTTTGAAGGAGAGAGGAGATCTCCTCTTAAGACAGGTGCTAGGACCTCGGGGACCTTTGACACAATGACAGCACGAAAAGGAAGACGGACAGCGCACAGACCGTACCCCCTCGTCACCGTCATCACCCATGGAGAAACTGTGCATGCACGCCACTGGATGGAGCACGCTCAAAGTCTCCCATATATTATCTCCTGAAGGGGCAGAGCACCAGGAAAAAAAAATGTTTTGTGGTCACGCTTGTTTTGATATCCACCACTCTTGACAACTGTGCGTCTGAACGTGGGGAAGGAAATGTGCATTCTGATACCCGGCCCACACCGGGTTCAGAGACCTCGACAACCAGTAACTTGCCCCCACTGGCCGAACCACTTGGGAGCACTGTTGCCACAGTAGCGAAGTAACTCGCCACGCATCGGTGAAATCTTTGAAACAGGGGTAAGCAACGCTTCTCCGCTGCTGGGACAAAAGGTAAATACCTTCCGCCAAAGCTGGAGGAACTCCACTGCGGGGGAGAAAACACCAAAGGCGCATTCACCTCCAATGGTTCAGTCTCCCCCACCGAATCCAAAGTCAGATATCAGCCCTGTACTGATGTCATCCGATTCACACACCGAAAACCCTCCACAGCCAATCAGGGATAGTATATCATCCCCGGAATCTGGACTTTGAACACTGCCAGAAAAACCGGAATGAGCCTCACTCGGCTGGGATGACTCCCCTATCAACCCCGACCACCAATCTTCCGCACAAAGTCAGCCTGACTCCCAATGGAAGTTGAACCCAGCAGGAGACAATGGTCAAACGGACTGGTCCAAGCCAAGGCCTCCTGGCAACAGGACAGCACTCGTGAGTATATTTGATTTTCATTGTGAAACCACATGCCCTAGGGCACAGTCGGCGGTTCAAACTCAGCTGGTTAGCCTTTTTGAACTTACTTTTACCACTGGCCATCTTACTCAAGCAAGGAAGCACTGGCTACACAAGCAAAGCAGAATGTAGTGGGTTTTCATCAAACCGATACAAAGACCCAAAATGCGCAACATCTAGGGGGACGAATACTCTCTCCCCACTAACAGAGACCTATGTCGGGGCCAAATCTCATAGCCTTCGTGCGCTTGAAAAGTTTGTAAATTGCGTGACACGTTCTTTCTTCAGGTGAGCTGAAGAGCGAATAATTTGGGAAATGGATGCGAGCCCCGGTATTATAGCCAGGAAGGCGGGGCTTCCGAGGGCGGGCTCGGCATCCAATGGCCCTTTGGGCGTGATTTCAGTTTGCTTCAGGTGAATAGGATTGGTCATTGACTCCCCATAGTATGTTACACCAAGTGACCGACTTAAAGGGAACACAAACTTCCTTTTTCCATCCCAAAACATTTTCCTATGTGTGCCCTACTGAACATGACCCATGTCTCACTACTCACTCATACAACGCCATCATTAAGACGTGATAGAAGGCATTCTTTCAAACCAGCACTTTTAGAAGTGGGGTGGAACTCAACCCCAAGAGTGTGTAGTCTGACAGCACTATGACCACCACAATAGGCTGCAATGTGATAGGCCAGTCTAAAAGGTGAGAGTTCAGCCAGCCCCCCCACCCCAGCCCCCCCCCCCCCACACACACACACCCACCCACCTTCGGCTAGCTTGTCAGGGATCTCGGCCTGGTACTTGGAGCCTACGCGGATCTCTCCCTGGTCCGCCAGGAGGGTCTTCTGGACCGGGTCAAACACCAGTGAGTAAAAGAAACACTCCTGGACAGAAAGATGAACAACATATGTTAGGAATGGATGGAGCTGAAGAATTGACATTCTCAGCCAATACACAGTATATTTACGTGCTTTATTGTATCAAAACAATACATATGGTCCTCACTCAAAAAAGGCAGTCATAAAAACATACACCACTTTTAGAAGAACATGCACAACTCTTTCGCCATAAATCCTTCGACAGTGCAGTTCTCATTGTAATACGTGGGACAGACTTGCTGGTGATGAACAGTGACGCTTAGGAGAGACTGAAGCTCACCTCTTTCTCCAGGTAGCCGGCGAGGACGTCCGTTTCGTTGAGGAGTGTGACGTTACATTTCCCTCTGGGGAGGGAGAGAGGTGCCAGGAGAAGCGACAGAGTGAGGGGTAGTCAAAGGTCAATACGGCACCCTGCAAATACACCCCGTTAATACTCCCATGGGTCTTTCATTAATCTGAACTGAGCGGCACCTAACCCTGCTGTTGTACTAGGCCTTTATCCCCAATAAGGCACTGGAAAAACAGAGGAATGTCTGTGGAGATCCCGTGAAAGAACAACTTCTGATCATGCAAGATCATTTCAACACAGTTAAATGATTTCAACAGTTAGAATCCCTTGACTAACTGCATTTTAAAATCAGGAGCCTGAACAGTGGTGATGGTTCGTGTTATGAAAAGGGACAGTTGGAACACATCAGTGGCTTAATGATTGTGAATGGGCCAGAGGATAATTTTCAAGGTTTAGGGTTAATTGTGCATATCAGTCCTGTCACATGACACTATATCCTGTCAGAGTTGAAAGGGTTAAAATGGCAGCACCCTTGTTTGCAGCTACTGCTATGGGGTGAGTCTACGCCTCAGGGGAGACACACACGTTCACACACACGCTCCATCTTACCGTATGTGAGTTGCAGGTAGAGACTCAAACTGCCGAGAGAGGAAAAGTTCTCTGTGTTTCAGCTGGTGTTTCTGCTGTTCAGACACGGTGGGCTGCTTGGACTCCTCCTCAAAGTCTCCTACGAAACACAGAACACAAAGACACATTAGCAACAATGGACATTTTCCAATTACCTGGGTTCTAATAATCTTGATCAGGGTATGTTCAATCACACAATTCATATCAATATAACCAATTGATAATTGTGGCTATGGGGATGACGCTCCCGCTGTACCTTTATTTGATTTGTTTTGGCATTTTCAAGTCTTATTGACAGATACAGGTTAGAAATGTAGATGGGGAAACGGTAAGAGGGAATCAAGCTCAGAGTGGCGGAACAGTGGATCCAACCACTGACGGCACACAGCAGTATCTTTATTGAAATCAAACACGCTAAACAGCAAAGTGAAACTGACTATATACATTGCCCTTTTTTCTACTGTGACTGTCCAAGTCTATCATAACCTATGACCTGGAACTTTAAACTTGTAACTGTACTTATGTGTAACCAATACCGGACACTGAAAATAATTTCCTACTCAGAAGGACAAACTCTTCTAGTCTATTCTAGTGACTGACCTACTATAGCCCTACTAAAGCTTTACAGTCAATGTAAACAAATGACTGCATATAGCCTATATGACCTGGCAGGCTAAAATTTGTCCATGTAGATAAAGAAACATTACTTTTCCCCATATGGAAGATGGTTTTGCATTATATCTAGTGTTACACCACTAAAATTGTGCATTCCTAATTTGAGGCGGGTGAGTCAGTAATGTGTGAGGTGGTGGTGGATTGAGCGGGGGGAGAACGAACTGGGCAGGACAATCACTCGATCTCCACGGGACTCCGCCCCTGCACTCAGCCACAGGAAACCCTGTCAGTAGAGAGGGGGGACAAGACCTCAGGCCACACCCCTTTCTGTTAACCCCTTTCCCCCCCTTGTCCGGCGAGTCCCTGCCAGACTAAGTGGGAAACCCTGTGCATCAAACCTGAGGCGCCCATCCCCCTCATCATGTATCCACCCCCCACAAAAAAAAAATAACTTGCACACAGACAGGCCCTCAAGGCACACCCACGTGCAGTGGCGCTCCAGCAGAGCAGTGTACGCGCTCTCTCCCTCCACACACTCTCTCATACACACACACTTTCTTCCTTGACAAAGACAAGGCAAGTCAGAGTTAACCCGTTGTGTGCCGCAGCCCTGTGGGACACATCAAGGGCCTTTTGTTCTGAGCAGCGTGCCTGGGCCGGAGGATAAGCAGAGAGGAGGGGGAGAATAAAGGAGTAGTGGGGGGGGGGGGGGTACTGTTGGAGGGAGGGAGAGAGAGAGAGAGGCTGGGAGAGAAGCCCAGGTCTTGTGTAACAGGACAGTGCCAAAGCGGTGGCTCGTGCTACTGAGCGGGAGGCGGGAGCACAGGCGTTTTTCATGCGCCCGAGCCAAAACGCCAGAGAGGGACGTAGAGTAGCGTAGCATAACGTAACAGCCGACAGTGTGTGTGTGTGTGTAGCGGGGGGTCTGCAAGACCAGAGTGGACCAGGCAGCCGGGCCAGGTCCCGAGGGTGGCAGGGGCTAGACTGGGCACTCGGTCTGTACACCGGCCCAGTTATGGCCGTTTGTTTGCAACCCAACCCCAGCCTCCTCCTCTCTCCCAGGCTCTCTCGACTGGTTGCAGCCAGTTTCAGTCTGTGTGTTTCTCCACTGACCCCCAGGGGAGGTTAGATGGAATACCTCCGCAGTACACAGGGGCAGTTAACGTTAACACACCGCAGTGACATAACCAATCAGCTAGCAGGGGCTCCAGGGCTGAGGGGGCAGGACAGGAGATCACCCACCCACCTACCCAGAGCCCCTGGCCATCCCTGCTTCCTACTGGAGTTCCTACCTCCTATTGTCGCTAAATGACCACAGAGAGGACACGTTTTTTATTACATTTTAGTCATTTAGCAAACAGAAGCTCTTATCCAGAGTGACTTGCAATAAGTAGGCTCTTTCATGAAACCAAACTGGAGGCACTGTACAGGCCAAACTCATTATAAAAAATATCACATTTTCTATCCAAAGAGAAACAAAGTAGGTAGGCTATGTTCGTCAGCGAGATAGATGTAGTAGTTGCCATTATGAAACGGCTGGAAAATGCATCCATTTTGAGGTGTGGATCTGAATGTCTTTTGTCTGGAGCCCTGCCACAGCATGCAGCCCACTATGTTAGAGGAGTGTGTGTGTGTGTGTGCGCGCGCATGTGTGTAAATGAATCCGGTCAGGGCTCTAGGTAATCGGAGTATCATTAGCATCACAACACTACCTCGGCGGCCGCTTCTCCCTCTCCATTTCCCCCGCTCTGCATCTCGTCCTCTGATCACTGGGCATCCGTACAAATGCACCACTCAGGGCACTCTAGTGGGCAACCCTTTACTGGAAACGTGTGTGATAAACACTGACTCTCAAACCAATAGCCAGCCACTATTACTCCTACAACAACAACCCACAAGTACAGCACGATTCATGATAGAAACTAAAACCAATTTTCCATCTCCATTGTGAATGAATCCTACATTAGTATCATACTCTTCCTGGCAGCTGCAGTGGAATAGCACTATGCAGTATGCACACTCTCACACACACACTGTTCTGCTTCAGCTGGAGACAAAGGGCGCGCCCAAATGGCACCCTATTCCCTATGTAGTGCACTACTTTTGACCAGATCGTGGTCAAAAGGTAGTGCATTCAATAGGGTGCCATTTGGGGACGCAGTCGGAGCATCCCTCTACTTAGAGAGAGAGACAATTGCCTGCTGGTAGTGCAGAGGGAGATCCCAATCTGATTGGAACAAAACACAGTACTCATATCCTGGATGGTGATAATAAACTGGGTTATATGAAAAGAGACGTCTACTCTAATAATGCTCTCCAATAACTTTACACAGGCCATAGACTGCACAGCATTAGAGTTTGGCATAGAGCTAAGAGTTGGCGCTCTCAAGTGGTGTGTAATAGGCCTCTTGATCTCTTTCTGAACGCAGTGAAGGAGCAGCGCACGGATGGACTGAGATGAGACTGCACAGACAGAAAGATTGTTGTACTCACTTGCGTTGCTGTCGGCCAGAGTGTTGAGGTTGCCCGAGATGTCCCGCCTCCGGAACAGACACACCACCTTGGCTTCTACGTTCCCATTGGCCGTCTGAGAGACATACGTGACAAGAGCGGTCAGTCACTACTGGCCAATACTTTGAATGATTGCCATATCACAATATTATTCTCTGAACGGCATGCCACATTCATAGATACGATTTCCCATCTATGAATGGAAATCGGCCATTTTGAATTGAATCAAATGTATTGAATATATGCTAGAACTTAAACTGGGGCTGTAAGTGACGAGGGGGTGACGCGAGACTCTCCATCATTACCATTGGATTAACCATGATCTGAAGAGAGGGAGAGAGAAACGACAAACTGAGGCCTCAATGTTGGGCTCCTTGTCTAATTCACACTCAGGTAATGTCCGAAACGGCATCCTGTTCCCTATGTAGCGCACTGCATTTTAGGCCAGTGCTCTTTCCAAAAGTAGTGCGCGACATAGGGAAGGGAACTTTCAGACGCAGCCTCAGTCATAATCATATCTATTATTGCCCCTCCTCCTCTGCTCCCATTAGAGCTCAGAAGGATGGAGTTCTCCTAGCGGTGCTTGCCACAACCCCCTTCAATTTAAGAGTGTTATATAAATGAGCGTAATCCTTTGACTGGGGGGGAAACAAGCCTGGGTCATCCACCGCTATGCTACTGCTACAGCCAGCCGCATTATGGAATGGCTCTTTCACCAGCATCTTGTCAATACTGTAGTAGTGCCGGCTGGCTAACCAAAGCACAATGCATCGGGAAGATGGGCGGGGGGGGTGTGTGTGTGTGGCAAGAAATTGTGGTTAGAACCTGGGAGGTGTGTGTGTGTGTGTGTGTGTGAATCTCTCTCTGGGTGTGTGTGTGTTTTACCACCATCATCATCGTCCCAGTGTAGGGATGGGTTACAGACAAACAGGCTATCAGGTCAGATATGATAAGCGTTCCATTTACAAATGGGGTTGTCAATGTCAGCGAGTTTTAATGTAAATGCTCCGAATCAGAGGGTAGATGTGAAGGACAGATTATTGTACCAACCTTGTTGAGCTCTTCTATTCTGCGGATTAGGTAGGGGTTGCTGGAGGAGTTCTCAAAGTACACGTAATCTGAAAGGTAAAGACAAAATACGAGTCATATGAATCATAAAAATTCTGTATCGTTTCAATTCAGCGCATGACTTTGAACATGACCTCTCCGGTTACTCTAACATGTTCAACGGAAAACCATTGTAATGTGTCTGTGTGGAGATTGCACTCTGTTGGAGTCTTTGTACAGTCACTTATTGATATGACTAAGGGGAATCCACCACCACTAACGGCAGATGACGTCAAACACCATGCAGACAGTCTTTCGCCAGGCAAAATCCATCCATCAAAAAGCCTACAGGTGCTTGGTGGGGAGAGCTAATAGCTTTGCACAACACATCCCGTCTGTGTCTGCCATTTCAAGGACAAGTGAGACAATATTCACTCAGCCATCCTACGCTATAGGCTACGCCAGACTACAGTACCACTATAACATGATTTCTGCTTGCATTCGACGTTTAGGAATTTCCCTCATATCTAATGATAGGGCTACAATTAGAGATGCTGGTGTTACTGAAAAGTGACCAATGAACAAAGCCCGGCGCCTTTACCTACTCTGTCTTTGTCTACAGAGATGATGGGCCTCAGTCTCTTCCACACAGCCCATTGATAGTAGCCTATACCCAGGGTCAAGGCAAAAGAATGGCTGTAGTGACATCCCAGAGGCCTGGCTACATCCCACAACGGTCACAAGCTCACGAGAGTGTAGCTACTACTACTAGGGCTGGCTAGGATGGAGTTTTTCTGAATGACTGTAGTAAAGGAGTATAAATACTAAGCTAATCAATTAATTACCCAGAAGAGTAGTCAGTTATTCAAGAGTCTCTCAAGACAACACAAAAATTGTTTTGGTATGCCCACTATTATAGGCCTAGCCTACTACTACGGTTAAGGTTACAATATCAAACCCACCCAAAATTATTTCTCGCCAGTGATATAGGCATGACAGACGATATTTTGGCTCAAGTGGCCAATATTTTGGTTCTAGCAGTGAAGTGGAAGGGGAACCCACCAGTGTGTTTTAGGGGTCACTTGCAGGTCATAGCAAAAGCCACATGGCCTGTAGCGTAACTCGCAGCTAAATAACTGTCCTCATGAATCAACAGCTCTGTTCAACATTAATCTACGAAACACAAACAAATAATGTGATAATATCCATAACTATCGTGGAGACTGGACATTGTCTACAGACAGTCAAACTAGGCTAATGCAGAAAACATATTGGAAATGGTGTCTATGAGCAATGCTGTCGCATTGCATCTGATCAGGGACACTAACTTTAAGATGGACACCAACATTGACTAACATCGCAATGCATCAGCAATCATATCTATTCTATAGAAGGAGAGTTCATAGGATGTAGCTCAGGGGCGATTCCACGCAAGCGGGAGCAGAAAATATTTTTGGTATCTCAGATTGTTCTGGCAAATCTCACATAGGAACTTCATTGGGTGGAAGGATACTTTTTACATTTGTATTACAAACCACTTTTTTTGAAAAGCTTGATGACATTTGACATTTTAGGCCCAGTTTCAACCCTCTGATCTGTGAACCGTACATGATACAGACAACATCTTAGTGTCATTATACTCCTTATAGTGTTCTCTCAAATTTGGAGTATGTCTAGATTCTAAAACACAAATGTTCACATTAAATTTGTTCAACAATAAAAATATCATTCTCAAAATGACCCTTTGATTTAGCTTATATTTTTTTTAGACATAACACAAACGTCCTCCCTACCAATTAAGCTTCTATGTGAGAATTGCCAGAACAATCAGAGATACCAAAAATTATTTCCACTCCTAGGTTAAAACACAACACGTCGTGGATGAGAGGGGAGAAATGCCTCTGCTGCCATTATGTAACCACCGACACTGGGGTGGACGGAATCTGGCTCAAAAGAAGAAGAAGAAAAGACCTGCACACAGCACTGTCATCCTCTTTTCATCCCTCCTTCTCCATATTCATCCATGTTCTCGGTCTTGCCCCAGTGGGACAAATGAAAACATGAAGCCCTCTCTCCACGCTATGGGGGCTCCATGTCTGCCTGGATGAATAGGTGAGAGACAGGGAGACAGCAGGCTAAAGCGGTGCCTCGCGGATCAATCGACCAGGGGCTTTTTGAATGGGGATCACAATCTGCACTTCTGAAAAGACAACCTCAGCTCAGACACTCAGAGTCGGTCAGCATTAACCAGATGTCTATGATGTTCATTTTTTAGTTATATATTTCAATAAGACCAATTATTCTTTGAAGCAGAAATAATCTCAGGAAGAGTAATATGCTTTACGTCTATTGCAGTTACAGTTGTGGCGCAGTGTGTTAGGTGCTTGGGGGTGGATTCAGAGTGCAGTGAATGGAGGGAGCCCTTAAAATAAATCTGAAGAAATGCCTAATTAGGTTTATACATTTATAATGACTTGTGGTGCCGTTAGGAGCTTGGTCTTTTAATGACGCAATGGATGCTTTATCGTTTTAGGATCACAGTCACACCAGTGAATCTATTGCTACTTACAAAACACCCGTGGCAAGCACTAAAAACAACCTACGATCCATTAATAGCATGTTGCTGTTGAGACATTGGACTGACAAACATGGGTGCGTGGATTTTCACCAATTCTATAGGATGAACTCACATGTAACCAAGTGTCAGCCGGGAGTCCCGGTTCTCAATCTCATTGACCCTGCATTAGCCCCTTACACAGTTGATGCATTCTCAGTAGCACGGATTCCTTTCATGAGCTCTATATCAACAGGACTCGTACCTGTTTATCTATGCATAGTCACTTTACCCCTACCTACATGTACAAATTACCTCAACTAACCTGTACCCCCGCACATTGACTTGGTACCGGTACCCCCTGTATATAGCCTCGTTATTGTTATTTTATTGTGTTACTTTTTATTTTATACTTAATTTTATTGAGTAAATTTTTTCTTAACTATTTCTTGAACTGCATTGTTAGTTAAGGGCTCCTAAGTAAGCATTTCACTGTAATGTCGACACATGTTGTATTCGGCGCATGTGACAAATACAATTTGATTTGAATAGGCTCCTCTGGCTATAAAGCGGGACCTAGCCCTAGACATTCAATTCAACTAATGCTTAAAACACAATTCACCAGAAGTGACGTGTGGTCTTATATAAAAGGTAAAGGCATATTTTAATACAGTAGTAAGCATAAATCCAGTAGACTATCCATTTTCAGATGAGGTCCAGAGACAATGGTAAAGCTATGGCATGTGGGACCCTGAGGAATAAGCGCCACTGAGTAAATATAACGCAGCTCCCTCATATCCAAATGAATCATTCGAGCACAACTTCATTGCCACACGCATGTCATGAGTGACATGTCATTTCATTACAGAGCAGAAGTAGAAACTCTACCGCAGACAGGGAGCGACACAGTCAGTAGCTGTGAGTCATTCAACTATTGCGTGAAGTCACATAAGAACATATTTTCAAGGACTCTTCCTAGCCAAAAGAAGGGAGCAGTCCTGTATGGTCTGTCTCTACTGTTAGATAACAGAATACGCTAAACACACCACTTTGGTTTTACTATGAAATTCGACACGTTTCTTTGACACACCACTGCATACTAGACTAGTGGACATATGTATAACGCGTCTGTAGGAGAGCCTTTTAGATCACAATGAATAAGATTGAATGGACGGGGGGGGGGGGGGGGGGGGACTGATTCAAGATCAGAACTCCTACTCTGAAACGCTGGCCCAGAGCTACCCAACTGGGTAGATATTCTGCTAGGCAGTGGCTCTTGTGACCACCTTGACTGGAGCGAGGAAAATTGGCAAGAACATCACTTTGCTCAACGGTGGAACAACAATAGATGTAATGGCTGCCTTGTGTGCACGCTCTCTGGGAAGTTTCCCCCCAGGAGGGCGACGGTGCACGGGTTAACAAGCATTTTGTCGCGCTCTGAGGTGCTAGGATGCAGTGCTGTGAGGGATTAGGCAAGCAGGCCTTGCCGACAGACAGGCCGGAAGACACTACCATCTGTGGGGCAGTGCCATCTCGGGCACAGTCTCAAGGCCAAGATGACCGAGGGGTGGGGGGGGGGGGGGGGGGGGGGCAGGGCTCTACAGTGCGACCATTTTACTCTCATATGTGCCAAAATATTTAGGAGCACCAGTGCGCCTAGGAAAATTAAGGATTCTAGCTTTATTACCTCAAATATTTTTAATTGTGCTCCTAAATGTGTGTTGGCCTACATTTTTCAACTTGAAAAAAAAAGGTCAGCGTAGAGCCCTGTGACGGCATAATCCTGCAACTAAAACAATGCATTTCAAGAAATAATAGTCTCAGCACTGTAATTTGTTTTTCAGACCGTCAGGGGTTAAATCCATCTATGCTGTTGCCTGTAAAACAGCCCAACTCAACACATTATCATCATATTCTGCAAGAGGTCTATGTCTTTATCAATGATGTTGAATTCAATGCCTGCTGTAGGCTATACCGTTCAAGTGCTTGTTTAAGTTATATTATGCACCGAAAGCAGACAGCATCTTCTATAAGACTGCACGGTTTAATCACTGTGACCTAAATACAGATGCTCTTGTGGAACCTTACACAACGATAAAATAGCCAGAATGTATCAGTGTATGACTATATTTCACGGACTCAGTCAGTAGCTGTGCACCCACCAAAACACTGACTCGAGCCAAGACAGAAAGGAAACGTGAATCACAACAACGTTGCAAGTTAAGATCACTGATGTTGATAATCTTTCTCACCACCAATAACATTATCTCATATCATTGCAATGTTGATGGTAAAATAAAGCTGTCGACCCTAGGGTTTGAGGAGGGTCCAGCCGGCTTAACTCTGGCCATCTTGCGACCTAACGCAACGCACGTTTACCGGCTTTTTAACATGCAGACTTGTGTTATTTTGCTAAATGTACTATATTAACCTTGGCAGCTAAACAATTCAACTAAATGGTAAGTAACAGTATCTACAAAATATGTTACAATTTGCGGAGTAGTCTGAAGTTGAACAATACAACGTCTTCCCAATTATAATCAATTGCCTTGCTGTGTTTGCTAACGTTAATTTATGCCAACTACAGTAGCTAACTAACTACGTAGCTCGCAAGGTAACTTGCGAGTTAAAAGATACAGCTAACTAGCTAGATAACATAGGTAGCCTGACTGTAAAAGATAGCTAGTCAAACCAGCAAGTGGTAGTTAAGTAAATAAACCATGTTTTAGCTAGTAACTTTAGCTAGCTAGCTAACATACTCAAGTTAACTTGCTGGTTTAAACCAATGACATAAATCATTGGTTTTAACTAAGCAATTAGCGTCTGGCTAGATATATAAACTTGGTTGACTATACTACACTGAAAGTGGACTAACTAGTCGTAAAATACAGTTATCTGACGCGTTAGATCGTTAGCCAACGAATGCGTTCTAATTTAACATGTCTTGCTATTAAGTTAGCTAGCTAGGTAGCATTAGCCTGCTAGCTAGTTAGCCAGCATTCGCGGAAATAACCATCGTTCGCTAGCTAGCAATCTAGCAAATGCAAATCAGCTAGCTAATTACCCTAGCATAGCTTGCTAACATTCACGATGATGGCTCTTCAAAATAAAATAAAAAAGACTTACCTCCCACTCGGTACATGTTGGCCGCCATTCTCTCGTTACCCCCAACAAACACTGTCCAAGGGATTCCCCTCTTGCGTTAAAAATGTCGATCTGGAGCTATTTTATCCCTGCATTTATTGGAGACCTCCCCCGCCGCGAAACAAAGCCGGGACCCGGCACAGTAGCCAAGCTCTGGCGGGTAAAAGTTTAAAGTTTCCGTTACAATGTTTCGGGGTTCCAAAATGCGTCTTTGTTTCAGTCCGATAACGACCTCCCTCTTCCACACTCACTCACTCACGCATTCACACTTGCAGGCATGCATACACAGCCCTTGATCGCTAGCCTGTCTCTTACTCCACTCTTCCTCTCATCCTCCGCTCCCAGCTTCATCCTCCTCTTCTTCACCTCCGCTCAGTTCACACACACACACGCGTACACAGACACTGCCCTCCCTCGTTTGTAAACGTCATCTTCGGAAAATAACGTCAATTAGAATCGGAAAACTCCGGCAACTCAGTACACACACACACACACACACACACACACAATTCTCAACAAGATAGAGTTGCTCCAACCATCACCATTACAAACACCAAGGGCCACTGATGCAGTTTGCAAGAGTCTAGTATCAACAGGCTGGGACTGGTAGTCAGGCCCTTAAGTGCAATTGAAATTGGTGGTCCTCTGTAGCTCAATTGGTAGAGCATGGCGCTTGTAACGCCAGGGTAGTGGGTTCGATCCCCGGGACCACCCATACATAAAAATGTATGCGCTTTGGTTAAAAGCGCAAATGTAAATCGCTTTGGATAAAAGCGTCTGCTAAATGGCATATTATTATAAAATAGCAAAATGTAACCAACATTGTTAGTAATCCCATAGTTATAACCAAAGTAATACTGAAGAAGGATAATCTGATTCGCATATTTGGCATGAAGAGTATGCAGATGAGCACATTGATGAGAGACAGCCTTCCATCAGACTTCCTCTAGTCTAGAGTCTACATTCAGATCCAGCACGCACAGCAGCAAAATGACAACTCAATGGCCATTATTTGAGCAACACTCCCCTCTAGCGATCATATCGATAGCATACAGTTTTTAGCACTTCAGTGTAACACTGGAAATGCAGGGATGCTTTTATAATGAAGGATGCTCTGAATTCATAAGCACTAGTTGTCATTGTTTATTGATAGAAATATCTGGAGACAAAGAAAACCATGACCCATTCAAAAGTACTTTTAAATAAACATAGAATAAATCAAATACAAAAGCGACGTGTACAATAAAGGTAGACCTTTCTGAATTTGTCTAATACTCTGGAGAGATTAGATTCAACTGCAATATGAGTAAAGCAAATATTTTTGTTATTCAATTCTAAGGCACTTGAGTGATTGTCACCATTTAGCAAAATGCACATAAAAAGTTCAATATTCATAGAGATCGCAACAGAGCAAAATATGTATGATGTTATATGACATTTCTGAGAAGACAATAACCATAAAACACCACTAGGGTAAGCTTGCATGGTAAACAAATTAGTAAACAAAATAGGATATTTTGGAATGTTCTCAACAATTGATCCCTTTGTTCAACAGTCAGTTGATACCAAAGTTTGACCTTTTTCAATTGCGCCAGTATAGAAAATTCACATAGATTCGACAGAATTTCACTCATTCTGAGAAGTACATCGTGCCCAGATGTATTAACATTTCCATTACATCACGTGTGGCTCATATCTGCATTACAAAACTCCATTGTGTTTGAACAGAGAATCCTATTGACATAAAGGATGTGATTCCTAAACCTGCTTTAATCTAAGAACCAGACACAACCACTACGCCACAGGTCCAGAAGCCTCTCTCTTTCTACGTTGCTCCCTCTCTCTCTCCCTCTCCCCCTTTCCCTCTCCCTCTGTAAACATTTCTCTCCCCTTTGTCTCTTTATCACCCTCTCTCTGTTTCTCTCAGTCTCTGTCTTTCTCTCCACGTCTCTTTCTCTCCTTTAAGGTTCTGGGGAGCTGGTTGAGGCGGAAGAGGAGGATTGTAGGCGGTCTCCCCCGCTGTCCCCCGTCCCTCCTCTCTTGACCCTCCACTGGAGGATACAGGTGTCCTTGCCTCCCATGGAGAGCACGTGACTGTCACAGTGGGTGAAGCGCACGTTGGTCACGTGACTACCGTGGCCCTCATAACTGTGGTTTGGGGCCTGATGGGTAAAAGAAGACATTTGATATGTGGTGAGCTTTCTGGTGGAAGGAGTAAAAATGATTGAAATCAATTGAAAATGTGGCGCTGAATTATTCCTGACCTTGGGTTTTGGGCAGGGGTACTGGAAGAGGTGGACTTTACAGAAGTCATCGGCCACCGCCACCATTCTCTCATTGTGGGAGCGACAGAGGGCGTTGATGTCTGTGCCGTCTGAACCCTCCAACCACACACCTGTGGGACGACACAAAATAACACACAACACATGCTAGCCACTCAGTCACAGGTAAAGGGTTGAGTGATATTGAGAGGCTTGTGATAGTTTGAATGCTGGTTCTTCTCACCCATGACATGGAAGCCCAATACGCAGGTGTAGGACGCCCATTCTCGGTCTTTGCTCTCGTAGCGGTTCCTCAACAGTTTGCAGCCTCCAGCGATGTCCCCTGTTTGAGAAGAGTAAAATAGTCCTTAGGATAATTGAGTTAGGGAAATTAGACATATTGTCCTATACAAATATACACGTGTTCAACTGAGACATGCAAAAATAAAATGTAGCCGTTTGCACAGTCACTCACAGTAAAGGATTTCGTAATCGCCTGAGTTGGACATAATGTACTTCCCGTCTTTGGACCAATCAAGGTGAGTGATGAAGCTGGAGTGACCCTAAAAGTAACAGACATCACAAAATGACAACACCCAAACACCATGACGAATATATTTTTTTACTTAACACTTATTTTTCTTAAAACTGCATTGTTGGTTAAGGGCTTGTAAGTAAGCGTTTCACTGTAAGGTCTACACCTGTTGTATTTGGCGCATGTGGCAAATACAATTTGATTTGATTTTACATAAATAATCCACAACCATCCCCAACATCCCAGAATGCACTGCAACTTACATTGCACTTTCCGTAGCGGGAGTAGCGCCGTCCACTCTCTGTGACGTTATAGATGTAGATGAAGTTGTCATGGGAACCCACGGCCAAGAAGCTACCATCTGAAAGGGTAAATCAAAACAAGGGCATGTTCCAAATAGAGATAAATAGATATAAATACAAATAATAGAGATCAATCCTAGTGGTGAGTCAGTACGTATTACTGAAGCATGGTTGACATTCGGTCTATTGTGACACACTGAAGGAGCTTGACCTCTGACCTGGTGAGTATCTCATTACGGACAGCTGTTCATTCCCGTCGGTGTAGTCTGAGACTACATCTTTGGTCTGCAGGTCAAGGACCAGCCACCTGTTACAGGGAGATTGGAGGTGGGGGGTTGGGAAGACAGGTAGACAACCAGCGTGAAGGTCTGATCCTTCAGACAATGATTCTGCTTTATCGTCCTGGAGTTTGGGGTAAATATCTAGCATCAACATCGTAATAAACAGGAACGCATTGATACTGATTAATGCTGTAGATTAGTTGATAACGTATGAGATACTTCTATTGCCTGCTCTAGTCTACGCATTTGATGCTGTTGTATTTCAGAGTGGAGTGTCTCACCTGCCTGTGCTGAGCCCAACAGACACCACAGCCCCATTGGGACAGAAATCAGCACACAGCCCATACTCCTGAAAGAAATGAGGAATAGTATTTAAGAATATGTGTCACTTTGTGTGTGTAGGTGCGTGTGTCTGTGTGTTTGTATCTATGCCCGCTCACCTCTAGCGTGGTGCACCAGTCCAGTTTGTGCTCCTCTGTGTTCCACACGCACACCTGTCTGTCATGTCCACAGGTGAGGAAGACATCCTGGGAGGGGTGTGTGGCCAAACCCCACATCTCATCCACATGACCCTGCACAGGATAGAGCGATACACACACTATCACACACACTATCACACACTCAATACACACACTATCACACACTCAATACACACACTATCACACACTCAATACACACACTATCACACACTCAATACACACACTATCACACACTCAATACACACACTAAATACACACACTATCACACACTCAATACACACACTATCACACACTCAATACACACACTATCACACACTCAATACACACACTATCACACACTCAATCCACACACTATCACACACTCAATCCACACACTGGCTTTAGGTTTCTATTCTCTAAGCTTCAATGTTCACTCCTCGACACTGATTGGACTGGAGTAAGACATGTTTGATACCACCAGTAGTTTCCCCCCATGGATACAACAATCTAATGCTTTTAAATCCATGTGGGGGAGTGAGAAAGTGCGCTGTGCACTTTGGGGAGAAGTGGAGGGAATCGGAACGCAGAACATGTGCAGACCAGGTGTGTAACCGCAAACCACTCCACATATCACTCCACATATACTCCATCATGCTAATGTTTACATACCTGTACTATGGCCACAAAGCCATCAGAGAAAGTGCCCCTCAGGATGGCATTTCGGGTGGTACCAACCAATACCTCCTCCCCGTCTACATCTGCAATGCAACGGACCGCCCCAAACTGTTCTGGAATCTATAATATATACATAAACATAGATATTATTCTGAAATAATACATAAATACCCACAAAAAAAGGTTTTAACACGCTCAGTTTGGTTATTAAGAGTGACAATGCACACACACAAACACGCTTCTTTCACCTCACACTCTCTCTCGGGTGCAAGGTCAGCGCTCCAGCGGATGATCTTACGGTCTTTGCCCCCGCCGCTGAGGAGAGCACCCCCCTGCAGCATACACAGAGTAAACACACTGCCGTCATGGGCCCGCGTCTGCCGCATGATCTGGAACGTCTCTGCAAAAGGAGGAAGAGAGAAGAAGATTACTTTACTGTCTATTGTCACAGGCCCTGCGATAGACTAGCGTCCAGAAACAGGAGATAGACTCCTGCCCTATGAGCCGTTCCGGCTCGCACAAGCCAAGGCTACTTACTTACTGTTGTCACAGGCCTCACACATTTGGAGAGCAAGGGGAAAAAGAATCACAGCTATGGAGGCAGAGTCTGGTAGCATAGTTGATTGAGGAGGTACTAAATCAAATGAAACTATATTTTTTCCTTATGTTTGTATTTTTATTACATTTATTTGATATGGAGAACCTGGTCCTAATTTGGACCCTGGTTGGAACAGACAGTTACCTTTGGCCCCTTTCCCCAGTGTCTTGACGTCGCCGGGTGATTTGCCCCATGTCAGGATGTTCCCCTCTGAGTCCCCAGTTAGCACGTCTCCCGTCAGGCTGAACACAAAGCACTGGATGAACTTGGGCTTCTTGTATTTCTAACAGAGAAGAAACATTACAAACTGTTACAAACAAGTTCGAATGACTATATTTATTGGGATCTTTGTATTTCTGACAGTAGATAAAGATGATAAACATTTATGTAACAAATTCGTTTGAATTACTATATGTAGTGGAGGTGGTTCAGTGATAAATAGCCTTGCCTGAGACCTGCAGACTTGTGCTAGCTCCCAGGTTAGTATAGGCTTTAGCTCAGTGGTCTAAAATAGTATTTATTGAGGCATCCAAATAACCCGGGTTTGATATACCCAGTTCGGTCACATATACAGGGTGCTGTTAACCTTTTAACCTATGTGGAAAAAGGCTGACAATGTACTTGTAAGGACTTCTAAGGGATTTCACTCACCCCAAAGATGCCCTGTTTCTTGGTGAGTGAGCCAGCACTTAGGGTCCAAAAGTAGACGTGAGACTTTCCACAGGTGATGATGTTGGTGCTGTCGTTGGGGTTGAACTCTACTGTAAACACTGCCTCGTTGGTGCTCTGGATTAACACACACAATGAGAAGATTTCAAGTCGTGAAATAATTTATTGAAATGCTAAATATCAATTGAAACTGTGAATGCCAATATCTCAGAGCTGGACTTCTATGATTTTGCCACCCTTGGAATTAAGTTGAGGACAATTAATGTTGTATAAGAGGGTATAATGCATAACACTTCTGCACCAAAGTCTCAATGTGCAGCAGCTGCACTATATGAAAAAAAGCAGTGGACTATTCCATTACAGTCCAGTGGGGGATGGGCATGTGTTACATACATTGAACCAACTCCTATATTTATGTGGGCTGCTAACCCCCCCCCCCCCCTTTTGACCACTCCCAATTTTAGCTGGAGATCCAAAACTGGACTCTTGAATCTATGGCACTCTCATGACAAATGATGCTTATGCAAATTCCATTTGGCCAATCATACAAGAAGTTCTGCATGTGTGCTACAAGAAACTCAGAATCAAGACAGGAAATTAGCTCATAACACCCACCTAACATCCAAACCCACCAACACACACATATGCGCGCACACACACACACACACACACAGTCACACACACACACTGACAAATTCACTGTCTAAAATATTTACACAGTTGCCGTGGCAACGCGGCTGAACTTACTCTCAGGGAAGTTGAGAAATTTGGGACAAAAGCCTGTGACAGAACGAGGTGACGTGGACGCCATATTTTTTTAACAAATCTATGCAAACAGTCCTCTTTTTCAGGCATCTACAGATCAGATCACTCTAGTGAATGCTGGCTTTAACAAAGCCTTCGTACGCAAATTACTACTTGGCTCCCAGCAAAGACACACCAGAGGTCTATACATGTACATGGGGGGATTTTTTTGTTATAGCACAAGGAAGCAGTATCAAGATGTATACCGTAAATCATATTGATTATTAGTATTTTACTGCAATAAACCTACTGTGCAATATGAATAGGACTCTCTTTGTGTATGTGTGTGTGTTTGTGTGTGCGTTTGTGCATGCATGTGGGTGTGTGTGTGCCTGTGTCCGTGCCTGTGTGCTTGCATGAATGCCAAGTGTGCGTGCGTGTGTGTCTTGGTGCATTGCTTTACCTTAACCTCTGCGTGCTTGGTTCCTTTGGCGCAGTCCCACACAGACAGCATGTGTTCATTGGAGTCATCAATCACACAGAGGAAGGCTCCAGAGTCCTGCAAGCAGAGGAGAGGTGAGAACGAGGGGAGAAGGAACCAGTGAGAGGCTGTCAGATGGAGAGATGATGCAGAGTCACAAGGACAGGGAAACAGAGATCAATGGCTAATGTGAAACCATGTGAAGGATCGCGGGTTCGATTCCGCTGAGGCCACCCATACCAAAACAATGTACGCATGACGGTAAGTCGCTTTGGATAAAAGCATCTGCTAAATGGCATATATATATATATATATATATATCAACGTAAACCTGTATTGGTTGTTTGTGAGTGTTGTATGGAGATTTGGTGTCAGGAGTTCTTCAAAAGCCTTAGTGAGTTGACAAAGGACAATGTACAAAAAACACAGACCATTCAACTCAGTCACATCTAGTTTGTGGGAGGGGTGTTTTGTAGTACGGATGATCACTTACCGCAAAGGAGAAGGCTACAGATCCTACACCTCGCTCAAACGTGCCCAGTCCTATCTGTTGTAGGGTGATCAGTGTGGCAGAATCCCATATGTGGACATAAGGCTGTAGGGGCTGAGAGACACAATAGACGTATAGGACTTGATGATAAATATGACCATTTACAGTACATATATTTAGTAAACATTTTCTTCCATGAATTGCCTCACCTTGCCATCCTTATCCACCCCAGCCGTCTGTCCCGAAGCCACCCGCACCTTGTCTGGATGGATGGTTAGACTGAAGGACAGACAAATTGTGATTTTTATACAGCATCATATTCTTTTAACTTGACTATCAATTCTCACATTTTGCTTACTCAACAACAATTGTAGTTGATTTTGCACAGTTTGTTGTATTTTATACACATGACAAATAAACTTGAATTATGATATGAGAGGTCATGGTTCAACGTGAGCCACTCACCAGCGGACACAGTCGGTGTGTTTGCTGTAGTGGCGCTGAGTGCGGTTGTTGATGTGGTACAGCACCACCACACATGCGATGAAGTATACTGCCTCCCCCGACGCCAGCAGATACAGATTGGCTCGGCAGTCGCGCCCCCGGTAACCGTAACTATGCGGCTCCAGTCAAGGTGACATCACTGAAACGTCTCATTGGTTCATCAGTCTAAATCATGAATTGACCCTAAAGTAATTACATTTCACCCACAGCTACACCTATAATAATAGGTGATTTATGGATGACATAACTTCCATTGACCTGAGAAGCGGATGGCTTGGCTAAAAGACATTAAGGAATTTACATATGTTTCTCTATCTGACTGATGGGCAAAATGTACTTTATGGCTTTCATCCAACAAACTTAGCACTATAGAATATCAAATATTCTAATCAACTATGACTGGAATTTAAAAACATACAGTATGTTGCTAGATCAAAGCCCCATTGGTCGTGACTTATGAGAGGGACTTAGGAAGGATACACCCAATCGAGTTCCAGTTTCTCTACAGGTGGCTCCATCCTCAGGTCATCGTAGTTCTGGATGTTGGAGGGGACGTACATGGTGATTGGTCGACCGCGGATGAACATCTTGATTGATTGACCTGTCAGCCAATGACAGATGGAGAAAAATGTATGACAATACTGGACCATATTTGTACATCTCCAACTGCTACCATGGTTCAATATGAACTTTCGCAATCCTATCCTCAACTTCATGTGGATATTTGCTGCTCTTTCAACGGCCTGCCTAAACTACCAAAATCCTGGTGATGCTACAATATCTACACCACAAATCACATTTAGATCCTAATTCATTCAATAATGTTAAGTCAACAGTGCAGTGCCATTAGCATGTATGAATCCCAAGCCCAAGTCTCAGCCCTACATGTAGTTGAATGACATAACAGTTAACACATAACATCCCCTATGATGTCTCGTACCTTGGGTTCCTCGTCTCGATCCTGGAGATCCTACGAGAGGAGAGGAAGAGAAAGAGACAGGAACAGAGAGAAAGGGAGAGACATAGAGAGAGGGAGAGACAGGGAGAGAGGGAGAGACAGAGAGAGAGGGAGAGACAGGGAGAGAGGGAGAGAGAGACAGGGAGAGACAGGGACAGACAGGAGAGAGGGAGAGAGAGAGACAGGGACAGGGAGAGAGGGGGAGAGGGAGAGAGAGAGGGGAGAGGACAGGACAGGAGAGAGGGAGAGAGGGAGAGACGGAGACAGGGACAGGGAGAGAGGAGAGACAGAGAGAGAGGGAGAGAAGAGAGAGCAGGGAGGAGAGAGACAGGACAGGGAGGAGGGAGAGACAGAGGAGACAGGACGAGAGATGGAGAGGGGGAGAGACGGGCGAGAGGGAGGGAGAGTGAGGGAGAGGGAGGGCGAGGGGAGGGGAGAGAAGGGAAGGGAGAGACAGGGACAAGGGAGAGAGGGACATGGAAGATGGAGAAGAGACAAGAAAGCAGAGGAGAGAGAGAGAGAGAATGACAGGGAGAGAGGAGGAGAGAGAAGAGAGGAAGGGAGAGACAGAGAGAGGAGAGAGACAGAGGAGAGAAGGGAACATGAGAGGTGATAGACAGGGACAGAGAGAGAGTGAGAGACATGAGGAGAGGAGAAAGAGTGAGAAGAACAGAGAGAGACAGAGACAGAGGGAGAGAGACAGAGACAGAGGGAGAGACAGAGACAGAGGGAGAGTGAGAGACAGGGACAGAGAGAGAGTGAGAGACAGAGAGAGAGGGAGAGACAGAGGGAGAGGGAGAGAGACAGGGACAGAGTGAGAGACAGGGACAGAGGGAGAGACAGGGAGAGAGAGAGAGAGAGAGTGAGTGAGTGAGTGAGTGAGTGAGTGAGTGAGTGAGTGAGTGAGTGAGTGAGTGAGTGAGTGAGTGAGTGAGTGAGTGAGTGAGTGAGTGAGTGAGTGAGTGAGTGAGAGAGAGAGAGAGAGAGAGAGACAAATAAACACATGGATTCTAGGAGCACTAAATCACAACTGATTCCAGCAGAGCAGGTTCTGCTCTGACATTACGGATCCACTGGGACCAGTTTCAGAGCCGCTCTTATGTGATCTATGAGCAAACCAGTGGGATGATTTTCCAACATCAGGCTTTGTTTTATTTAGAATTTAGGGGTATATCCACACTATTGCCATTCACATTTCCAAGTATAGACATTCAGTTAGGATATAGTGAGTAAGATATAGTGAGTTCAATTTAAAAGACCTGGTTACACTTTTACAACCCTCTCGTGATGACCTAACTCGTGCTGAATTCAGGCAGACCTGTCCCGGGCCAACTCAGAGAGACAGTGAAAAACTGAATACATCTAGTCCTGGCCAGCTCACAGAAAGAGAAAGAGAGAGAGAGAAATTAACAAATAAAAAAAGTATTCTTGGTCTCCGTCCTTCTCGGGTATAACAGCCATCCATCATCCCGTCAGGAGTCTCGGAGCGGTGCGGCAGCACGGTTAACCACAATGGATGGCTTTCCAGAAAGAGTCCAATGGGATCGTCCCAACCCAGAACGGAGGGGTGGAGCACTAAACAGACTCTCTGTGTTTAACATCAGGAACGGCTGCCGCTCTGCCTCATAAATAAGTGACAGTGTAAAAAAGTATCTCTGTGATCACAGTATGATGAGGAATATTTCTGACCAGGCTTATTTTAGTGTGTGGAGGAGGGATGGACTATGATGGACTCTGAATTACCTTTGGGCCTTGAGACAACTAGAGGATGGATGCAATGTCCAGTGGCCAGTCACTTTTATGACTGTCATTATTGTATTAGTAGTAGTAATATTGTTGTTGTAGTAGTAGTAGTAGTATGCTCTTACTATTACAGACGTAAGCCCTTTTGGAGGCTCACTCCATGCACCCTTTGTCTAGTAGAAACCCCTTGTCTTGTGGCTCACTGATCAAATTTACAGACTATTATGCTAATCAGATGGGCGCATCAAACTGATTTTCCGCAAATTGAATCCCCATTAGGTCCAACTGGTAAAAACACAGAGACAATCAAAGACAATCAAATAGGGAATGTCCTCTTAACTCTCTCTGGTTTAGGAATGAATCCCATTATAAAGCTAAACCACACTCCAAGCAAACGCTCAAAAAAGCAGGAAAGTGAACCTCAAGCATGGGTATTGCTCTATCTGAATACTATCTTTGACATTTAGTATGCAGTTTAGTGTCCCAAACGAAAGAATAGGAATGAGAAGTTAACACACCAAATATGAGATAGTTATAGACTGAAAGGCTATGTTCTTGCATTTACAGGCCCCCTAAATGGAGGCTATGGACACATTTAATAATAGGTAAAGTAATACACAGGTTAGCTGGAGCTGTACGTATGGGCTATTCATCCAGTCCAGATCTGGCCTGCAGTCTGTCTGTCAGTCATTTAAGCCAATATAGAGACTAAGGTTGGATAATACATTATAGGGAGTCTGGAGAGAGTAGTGTTGTTTGATATGCATTACCTGCACTGGCGATGAGATCTTTGGTCCGGCTGCGAGAAAAGAAACAACCATAACTGTTAGACAGACACATTATATTCAAGAGACTCTTTCAGACACTTGAACCAACCATTATATTATACAGTCTTTGGACCCAGCTCACGCAATTGGGGGATCCTAAGACTTTTCAAAGGAAAGGAATTTTATTAAACTAGAATAAAGGGCACCTGTTTTCCAATGAGTGACTACTTGGTGAAATATGTAACGTTTTTGCGGCCGTAGGAAAATGTGATGTTACGATGAGTTTGAAAGATGATCTTGCTGATGGATCGGATCGGCCTTCTCTCACCTCTCCAGACTGGGGGATCGGGTGAGGAGGTTGGCCGAAGATGCTGCCTTTTTGTCCAGCCGCTTCTTGGTCTTCTCCTGGGGGTCCTTTGCTAGTTTCTCACTGTTCCTGCGAACTCTGGACAATGAGGATAGGGAGTCTGCATAAGAGGATTTATGTGCTGGGTTTGAGACACAGACACAACCACACTTGGGAACACAAACACATACTTGCGCACAGAGACATGCACACACACAAACACAGACACACAAGCACGCACACTTACACACTCAGATGAACTATGAATGTGTGTGTGTTTGTCACGCCCTGGCCGTGAGAGGCCTGTTGTCTTTAGTTGGTTTGGTTCTCCCACTTAAAAAGATGAGAGAGGCCTGTAATTTTCATCATAGGTACACGTCAACTATGACAGACAAAATTAGAAAAAAAAATCCAGAAAATCACATTGTAGGATTTTTAATGAATTTATTGGCATATGATGGTGGAAAATAAGTATTTGGTCAATAACAAAAGTTTCTCAATACTTTGTTATATACCCTTTGTTGGCAATGACACAGGTCAAACGTTTTCTGTACGTCTTCACAAGGTTTTCACACACTGTTGCTGGTATTTTGGCCCATTCCTCCATGCAGATCTCCTCTAGAGCAGTGATGTTTTGGGGCTGTCGCTGGGCAACACAGACTTTCAACTCCCTCCAAATATTTTCTATGGGGTTGAGATCTGGAGACTGGCTAGGCCACTCCAGGACCTTGAAATGCTTCTTACGAAGCCACTCCTTCGTTGCCCGGGCGGTGTGTTTGGGATCATTGTCATGCTGAAAGACCCAGCCACGTTTCATCTTCAATGCCCTTGCTGATGGAAGGAGGGTTTCACTCAAAATCTCACGATACATGGCCCCATTCATTCTTTCCTTTACACGGATCAGTCATCCTGGTCCCTTTGCAGAAAAAACAGCCCCAAAGCATGATGTTTCCAACCCCATGCTTCACAGTAGGTATGGTGTTCTTTGGATGCAACTCAGCATTCTTTGTCCTCCAAACATGACGAGTTGAGTTTTTACCAAAAAGTTATATTTTGGTTTCATCTGACCATATGACATTCTCCCAATCCTCTTCTGGATCATCCAAATGCACTTCAGACGGGCCTGGACATGTACTGGCTTAAGCAGGGGGACACGTCTCGCACTGCAGGATTTGAGTCCCTGGCGGCGTAGTGTGTTACTGATGGTTGGCTTTGTTACTTTGGTCCCAGCTCTCAGCAGGTCATTCACTAGGTCCCCCCGTGTGGTTCTGGGATTTTTGCTCACCGTTCTTGTGATCATTTTGACCCCACGGGGTGAGATCTTGCATGGAGCCCCAGATCGAGGGAGATTATCAGTGGTCTTGTATGTCTTCCATTTCCTAATAATTGCTCCCACAGTTGATTTCTTCAAACCAAGCTCCTTACCTGTTGCAGATTCAGTCTTCCAGCCTGGTGCAGGTCTACAATTTTTTTTGGTGTCTTTGACAGCTCTTTGGTCTTGGCCATTGTGAAGTTTGGAGTGTGACTGTTTGAGGTTGTGGACAGGTGTCTTTTATACTGATAACAAGTTCAAAAGGTGCCATTAATACAGGTAACGAGTGGAGGACAGAGGAGCCTCTTGAAAGAAGAAGTTACAGGTCTGTGAGAGCCAGAAATCTTGCTTGTTGTAGTGACCAAATACTTATTTTCCACCATAATTTGCAAATAAATTCATTTAAAAATCCTACAATGGGATTTTCTGGATTTTTTTTCTCAATTTGTCTGTCATAGTTGACGTGTACCTATGATGAAAATTACAGGCCTCTCTCATCTTTTAGTGGGAAACTTGCACAATTGGTGGCTGACTAAATACTTTTTTGCCCCACTGTATATTCTATGTTTACATTCTAGTTAGTCTATTTCTATGTTTCAGTTCTAGGTTGTGTGTCTATGGTTGGCCGGGTGTGATTCCCAATCAGAGACAGCTGTCGCTCGTTGTCTCTGATTGGGGATCATACTTAAGTAGCCTGGTTGCCTACCTTAGTTGTGGGATCGTGTTCTGTGTTTAGGCTTGTGTGTGTGTGTATAGCCTGAGGATGTCACGTTATGTTGTTTATTGAGTTTAATAAACATGTTCGCACACCACACTGCACCTTGGTCTGACCCATCTCTCAACGATCGTGACAGTGTTTCAACGTGTATTCTATGACGGGCCAGAGTTTCCCTGTAAGCCACACGACCATTTTCCTGGTAAGGAAATGATGTGCTCAATAATCAGAGGGAAATTGCCCTCGTCATGTGACCAGGGATGTTTGAGGTATGTAACAGGAAGTAGAACTAGGAAGTGAAACCCAGCTGACTCCCTTCCCCTGAAGCCTGTGGCTCCTACTGATTATACACATACAAATACTGTCTACATAATGTATCTAAGTATGTAATGTAACTGAATAGCCTAGTTCATATTACTGTTTGGTTCTGGAAATGACTTCACATTCATAGTACCACTCGTTCTCATGGTGTGGCATGATAGAGCTAACTAGATCTAACTGAAACATATGCTATCAATCAGCAATAGGCCTCTTCCAAGTCATAACTAGCATTCAAAACAACACACACACACACAGAACACAAACACAATCAGAGGAATACTGTAGCAATTCTTTTGTGATTATGGAGCAGCAAAAGAATCTACCAATTTGACTCAGATGAAAAGCCCCATTGAAATATCCACATGCAGGAAATCATGCTGAATCAATTCATGCTTGAATGAGGAGAAATCTGTTAAAGGGTGAGGCTCAGATTTGATCATCAGGTTAGTGTGCATTCCATGAACACAACCCCAGTGTTACTGTTACACAGTGTTAACTACTCAACTTGTGTTTAACTGCAAACCCCAGTTGTTCTGAACGTAACCCTTAACATTGATTCAATGTCTTATCTGTAGGGCATGGAGTTTAACTATGGTCCAGAGTTTTTCCTGTTCAGATCACATTGACGGGAAAAACTTTGGGCCCTACTCATCTGACATGCATAACTAGGCTACCACTTCTCAGTCTTTGGGCTAAGACCAAATTTAGTTATAGACATAACTAGGCTGTGTTTTATTCATTTTTATGGCTATGCGGTGAAACGGCTGCTGCTTGGCCAATGCGGCCATTTTGAAACGTTGCATTCTAGAGCCCCACATCAAAGAGGTGTTGACATGGCAAAACGCTCATTGTGGCCCCCAGCTTATCCCAGCATTCACCAATATTGTATACACAGGGTTGAGCCGCACGACCCTTAACACATTTTCCACTGTGCCTGATTCTGTGTGTGTTGCCTCTCTTGGACGTGTCACTCAGCATACGATGAGTCTGTCATTATGAGACACAAGGGCCTTATGTTCCCAATCACCCTCATTTAGCCCCTGGTTCAAAGACATGGAAAATAACACAGCAGCCGGATCCAGCGGGAGAGACAACGTAATGTATGCTCCCCAGTCAACTGTCTACCACAAACTGATTCTTAGATTAGAGTTTTGTAGTAACACAAGCATAGAGAATAGGAGACAGGGATCAAAAAGAGGTGATTTATCCCCAAAAGCCATGCAATCAGGCAGGAATGAATGGAGAAGAGGAGGAGGAGGACGCGATAACGCACAAGGGTTTATTCTGGCCCTCCAGGATAGTGGAGAGAGGTCCACCCCGGGAGCTGGGGGACAGGTCCTTAGGGGGGGCTGGGGACCCCGAGATTGGGGTCTGGCGGGCTGAACTCAGGCTCTCCGTGGAGCCATTGGGGTCCTGGAGGTCCACTCTCTGGAGGCTCCGGATGGTGGTGGGGTGGATGGGCTCCTCTACAGAAGACGCCCAGCTCAGGTCCTTTTCCACTTCCTCGTCCTCCTCTTCTAGCACCTGGACGCGGTGGAGCTTGGCCAGGGACCCCTCGGTCAGAGAGATCCCCTTGGGGAGGGCATCTTCCAGGGAGAGGCTCTGGACGTCACTGGTGAGAGCCAGGGGGACCCTGTCTAGCCCCTGGTCCTGCCTCAGCGGGGTGAGCTCTGTCTGGGTATCCCGATCATATGTAGGGGGCTTACACATGGGGGCTAGGGATCCATTGTCCCCATAGTGACCATTCTCACCTTCAATGTTGTTTCCCACTTGGCTAGAGACACACACAGTGTACAGTTGAGATCAACAAGGATAAAACATCATACAATATCAGACTGAATCTAATAAGACTTTACTATACAAGTTGAATGCTATAAATCCAATATCTTGACTGAACAAACAATTCCCTATTTACACACATTGCTAATCTAAGAGCCATGTCTTCATATAGGTCTCTCCTACCCACTCTTTGCCCACCCAGTCCCTCTGTGCTGGTACAGTACCTGGTGGCAGGGTGGCGGGTGCCATCCAGGGCTGAGCTGGACGATAGTTTACGGGAGCTGGAGAAACCATCAGAGCAGAAGACCTGGTTCAGGACACGGGCCGCTGCAGGGTTCACTGAGGTCATATACAATAAGACACAATCACACACATTTAGGATGAACACATAGATGCAACAAACAGCACAAAACAATGGTCATGGGGTGGGATAATAATATATTTATTATTCTATTGGCTTCTGTTACTGTAGACAAGCTTACATTAGTCAAACCAAGTCGTTTAAGACCGTAATCTGATCTAAGGTGTGATGGTTGGCCACTCACCTGCGATGAGCTGCTGTTTGAGCAGGGGGATCAGCTGGTCGTGGAGGCGGAGCCTGCGCAGCGCGTCGGCCAGTGATGACTTCAGCAGAATGATCTCATTTTCCTGCAACTGAAGGCGCCCCTCCATCATGGACACTCTGTCTGGGTACTCAGCGCTGCTGCCCGCCGACACATCATCTGAGCAGATGGACCAAGACAACCAATCAGGAGATAGTATGGAACTAGATTGAACTAGACAGTCTGGATTGGTAGATGCTAAGGTAGACTCCCATTGTAACTCCCACAGAAGTGGTATAAACCAAGCAGTAGCAATGTATAGGTGGAATACTGTGAAAGAACTGCAGAGAAGGGAGAACTTCAAAAGATGGGCACAGTTAGACATGACCCCAGTGAGTGTTGTAAATACTGCTAACAGTCCACAAATCTTCCTCAAAGAGACAGGAGGACTTACATTGTGCATGAAGATGGGCCTCCTGCAACCATCTGTCTGTGAAGCCAACATTAATGTCCTCATCCAGCACAGTGTATAACTTAAAAGGACAGGATGACATTTTCTATGAGTTTGGAGAGAAATTGTTTATATACTTGAATTTCATGAGGCTTTGATGCTGCTCATTGACTGAACTAAGTCCCCTTTCTATCAAAAAAAGAAGGCAGGAGACTATTAACACTATTAGGAGAAAAGGAGCTAAAACATGTGTTTCTGGTTCTTTCAACCGTTTGCAATTTCCCAATGGCAGCCTCGCAAAAAAAGGAGCGGAATGTTGTAATTGTTTATCATCAGGTTGTGTTTGGAGAAAAGGGTTTAGCTAAGATGGTTGTTAAGTATCCGCAGACTTACTTTCTCTAAAGTAGTGTGCATGGGTTGGCACTCTTTTCCATTCTAATTCTGTATATGTCCACGTTTCCTGCTAATTTCCCGAGACATGGCAGTAGGAAGAGTTGTTTATCAATAAGTTGTGTTTTTAATGAATGGATTTGAATCTGTTAGGCTTTTAATAAGTCACCACAGACTTACCCGTTCTCTGTGTGTACAACATGTTGGGATTGGAACTATTATATCATCCTGTATGTTTACATTTCCAACAAATTTCCTCAGAGGTGAAAGGGAGGAAGACAGCATTCCAGGGTGTCACAATCCACATGTCATGTGACTAATGATCAGACCCTGAGCCAACTGAAGCTTTTCTTTTGCACAACTTCCTGCTTTGGTTGGCAACATTTGTTCTATTGTGTGTCAGTATGTATGTGTGGGTTTGGTTTCACTGTCCTTTGTGGGGACATTTCGCCAGTCCCCACAATTTCGCTGGTTCCCACAAGAAAAAGGCTATTTTAGGTTAGGTTTAGGGTTACAATTAGGTAAAATTGGATTTTGAATGGGAATTAATTGTAAAACAAAAGTGTGTGTGTGTGTGTGTGTGTGTGTGTGTGTGTGTGTCTACAGTTCCCGGTTGGAAAATCCCCTGCTTCTTCTATCACTTTATGAAATCCTTCCTCCTCCCTAAATTGGACATGCGTTGCTATGGTAACCAGACTGACCAATGACCATGCAGTCACATAAAACTGTTATGTCTCTCTGGGTCAGGGGAAAGAGTAAGTTGTCTGATTGATTAAGAACCTGATCGTGGATCAATAGACTGATTCTCTGGGTCTACTTTTGTAAAACGTTCTACGAAAATAAAGTTTGAATTGATTTAACATTACAGAGTAATCTATAGTCACCTTACATGTCAATATGCATGGTTGTTTGAATTACATAGCCTGCATATTCTGTATCATGCATTTGGATCTGTAAGACTATTGATGATGTACTTAAAACAGTGTTTCTGTGGGATCAAATGAAAAACTATTAATCATGTTCCAAACATGCCTTAACAGCTCTGCGATCTACTGGGTTCAAGAGGTTTATATACCTTGAGAATCTGGCACAGTGGGTTAATGTGATGCAATAACGATACCAGGACAAACTGGCTTCCAGTGGGTGTGGCTTCCATTCTCCCAAGTCCGTTCCAAGAGGACGCACATAACTGTCAGTTAACTTCAACTCTGAATACTGCCACATTCTTCCTCTTTCTTTCTCCACCTACTATTCCTCCTCCCTCCTTTCTCTCCTCTTCCACCTCCTACTCCTCTCCCAGGCCTTCCATGCATCATATCCAAGTTGGGGAGCTTATCGTTTCCTTTATGGTATGAAAGTGACTCACAGATTGGTACTTACTCTTCCTCCTTAACCCTTTATTACCGCAGGTGGTATACCCTATGCTACTCCTCAATGCACTGTCGCAGTTAAGCAAAATTTAACAGTTATTGTTGTTGGCTTATTCCCATTGAGGATTGCGGAGAGGAGTGGTTCTGACTGAGTGCCTCTCACCCACTTACTACTGAGCACTGGGTGAGCCGTTTCCTAAGAACTCTTAAAGCATTTCACGGTTTGCCTTGCTTGGCTTGTAAGGCGACAATAACACTTTAAACGGTTGGGTAAGAATGCAGTGGCCAACTGAACATGCAAATCATCACTAGAGGAGAACTAGTTTGGCTTATCAACTTGAAAGTATGAAAATATCTCTCGCCTTAAGGCCTACAAGACTGTTTCTCTTTTCATAAACAGAGGGATTCCAGTGATGCCTTCATTCGATTCACCCACACACACACAATATCTGGACCAGAACCATGGCTTCACTCCACACACAATGGGGTCTTTGAGGCTTGCTGGGAGGGAGACTCTCTCTGCTGTCTGTGTTCAGACTGAGACTGAGCCAACCGTGTGCAGGGCCTCTCACTGGACACACACCACAGAGACAGAACAACAACAGCAATGGAAGAATACAGTGACATTTCACCCAGTATAATATGAAGGAAATGGGAGAATTTCACCCAGTATAATATGAAGAAAATGGGAGAATGACGCTAACGGATATCTTCCAGTTATATCAACATTACAGTATTATAAGCGTTTTGGATTCATTTAAGTCTATACTTTAGAACCATAGCTATATACTGTATAGTCATATCTAAGGCTCTGGTTAAAACTGTGTGTTAGACTCTATGCCATGGTTTTGATACACTACACGTATTTTCTTGCCAGTTGAAATTCCACACTTTCAATATAAATCACAGGCGAACTGTTGTTAAACTCCAAGAACTTGGTCGTGATGACATATACAGGCACACATGACTTCACACACTTGTTTGAAGAGGGCTTGGAATTTAGCGGTAGAGCAAGACTACTGTACTCTAACAAAGGATAGGAAACACCTGACTCAAGTGGTTGAGTTAGGGCACAATGTCCACTATGGAATATTGATATTCACCAGCATTGTGAAGAGTAGATGCTCTGTGGCCTACAGGTAATAGGAAGTGCAATGAGGAAGTCTAATCTCAGAATGTACACTAAACAATGTGGTTGTGAGGCTCTATGGCTGAGTTTAGACAGGCAGCCCAATTCTGATATGTTCTAACTAATTGATCTTTTGACCAATCAGATCACTTTCGATAAAGATCTAATGTGAAAAGATCTGATGTGATTGGTCAAAATACCAATTTGTGGAAAAAATATCAGAATTGGGATACCTGTCTAAACGCAGCCTATGGGACTCAGCTGTGTTGTAACACAATAACTAGCCTCTGCTCCAATCCGCTGGCTTTAAACCCAAATCAAAAGCCAGCAAGATTCCTTTTCAGTCTTTCAACTCTTCTCTCTTTTGGCAAATCTCAGCTGACTTGATCAACTGTGCGTGAAGCATTAAGCATTAAGTTAAAAAACGAATGGCCAAAAATTAAACCAAGTAGAAATGAGAAACGTACAGGAGAGAGAATGCAACGGAGTGTGTACAGGAGCATTCAAACACGATCTATTCTATTCACTTGTCGATGCAGATACACTCTTCCATGCAGTATCGTTCTATCACTCGCTTTCTCTCAGCCTCGTTCTCTCTCACACACACACACGCTGTTATAATCGCGGGGCAGGAGGGTTTAGGGTCATTAAATATTGTGTGGATGAAGGGCGGGTGGGTGGCGGGTTGAACAAAGAGAAAACAATCGCCTACCGTAAAACATCCATAAATGTCTCATTCCTGTGCAATTTATATCTATAGGCTACACTGAGGATTTTCTTTCATTATTTTAGGCTATGTGGCATTAGTGTGAGCCTAAACTTTAGGGCCTAACTATCAGGTGCCAAATAGCCTACACGCCAATCGCTTTTGGGAACGGGCTGAAAAAGTTAATGTCCAACCACAGAGGCAAAAAGCTCAATGTCAGAGTATATTTAAATAAGAGAAAAGCTGCAAAAGGAGAGTTGAAAATAAAGAGAAGGGAGGGCCAGAAAATGTATGTTTTGGAAAGATTTGGTGAAGTGGTAAAAGAGGATGGAAATTCGAAAGTCACAAGACGGGGACTTCAAATAGGTCTATGGCACGTCAAGGGAACTGTAGCCTACTGTTCAGATGGGTTAAATGGAAACTGAGCCTATATATTAACTCCTGCAGAATTAGGCATTTCTTGCAGTAAAATGATACACCAAATGAGGCTAAAATTGGACTCGGGAACAGGAGTGGAGAAATATGACTTATTTATTTCAGCATCTTGAGAGAATGCGAATGTGCAGATATAGATACCATCTATATCAGTGGAGACTGCGGAGGGGAGGACGGCTCATAATTATGTCTGGAACAGAGCAAATGGAATGGCATCAAACCATGTTTTTGATGTCTTTGATCCCATTCCACTGATTCCGCTCCAGCCATAACCACAAGCCCGTCCTCCCCAATGAAGGTGTCACCAACCTCCTGAGGTGCTAGCTATCTTTATTAGCACATGAAAGCTGATAGTATTTCAACCACATAAAATACGCATCAAAGCCAAACTGAAATCTTATCTTTCTATTTACAACCAGTCAAACTGATTTTGCACAGAAAATCTTTCCAGTTTTATTTTGTTAGCCTATTGCATTTTCTCCCCGGTCTCTAAATGTCTTTGTTCCGCAGAGATGACAGAAAACTTTACCGATGACAACTAAATTCAAGCATTCATTCTATCAATTTATGATATTACTTTGGTGAGCAAGAGTTTATTTAGTCTTCTAGGGTAACATATAATGACAGAAGAGAAGCTACATGTATCTAATTATAGTTGACAAAAAATAGCCTACCAAAATGTCGGAAATTATAAGCAGAAACATATCTAAATCAGGCAAAATAAATCCTGCACCCCC